CAATCAGTATCTTTATTAAACAACACAGTGTGCGTGTGTGCCGTTGGAAGCACAGGAATACAATGCCCGTTGGAGGATTATAACTCGTCCGCGTCGTCTGGAAACTATTAACAAAATAACTCCTATAATGATAGATATTGGCCTGCCTATTTAGACGAAGTAATTTAGTAGAGAACCCGAATAATGCTACAATTGAGCAAGCTTCATTACCGCGTCTAATCATGCTAGCGCAGCGCAGAACGGACGCGTAGCACGCGACAATTCTGCCATCAACCGTGAAAGAATTCGCGGACATCACGAACACGTGGAAAGCAGCAGAGCGCTCCTTCACGATTCGAACTAATAATCGTGCCAAGTTTGAATCGAGCTCGGTTTCAGATGTACGATTTGCTACATTTGCACCTACAGTACAAACTTACCATTCGTGTTGTTATTGGTTCTATGAATCTCTATTTCATTAATTGCAAAGTAAGATGGCCTATGATTTCTCAATAAAAATGTTAAATCCCAGTTACAGGTATTAAAAATATTAGTTAGATATCCTCGGCTCACTATATTATGTATCTTTAATTTTATATTTCAATGTTATTAAAACAACAATCTGTTACATAGTCTGAAACCTTAACAAAAAAAGTGTCAGGTGTCAATGAACGTATATATTCATATCTCTCTCTTTTTTGGCGGCGGCGGCGGCTCCGGGCGCGGTCTGCACGTGCGCGGCGTGGAGGTGGGCATCGTGCTGCTGGTGCTGGTCGTGTGGGTGGCCGCCATCGCGCTCTTCTTCAACCGCTGGGGCAAGATCCGCATGCTGCTGCCCTACCAGGTCGGTGCGCTCAGCGGCGCCGCGGGGAGTAAGGTTGCCACTCGGCTCGCGATTCCGGCAGCCAAGTAGAAACCGACACCCGGCGCGGATGCCTACGCATTCGAGGGCTTCAAATTGGCTCTACCCGCTTTGCCTTACGATGGCTTATGATGTTTGCGTCGGCAATTAGGGCTGTTGTAGCCAAAGTATATGAAGTCAGTGGCTAAAGTTGGCACACTGGATCTTCTTATGACAGCTAGTTCGTTGATAATTATGGCTTTTGGAGTCACAGTACAAGTTGCCACGTGTTAAGTTGTCACTGTCCCATTTTTCTTACGATGCCAGGTAAACCTTGGGAACGAGAGTTTCGGTAACCAAGAGAACATATAATCTTCAGAATGTGAAGTTAGCATCGCGGATTTGTTATGAATGGAAAAAATATTTGCCTATAAAAGAATAATTTTAATAGCAATTTAAACATGTCATTCAAATGAAAAATTGTGAAAAATATTGAAGATGATAAGTTAGAGTTCTGACTATCTGAAGATCTCATCAACTAGAAAAATATGGATTACAAAACTTCCCAATTTAAAATGACAATGTTACAATTTACGATCCAAACGATCCTTTACATCACGAAATGACCTTTGCTTCACACCATTCAGTTTGGATGGATATATATTCCTTTATAGTATGCCAATAATTTCTGCAATTAAACCTCTAAGGTAACTTAATTTAAATCTCTTCCAAGAACAAAACTGACTGTAGGACTGTTCACGAAAGAAATTACGAAAATTAAGATCATAGAAACAAAGAAGCAGTGATTTCCAAGCCCTCGCTTTGCGTCCGAGATAGGCAAAATGGCCTCAAAACAAGTTAATCTTTTAACATTAACGGCACTATCTTAAGCAAATAATCGTTATTCCATTCATAAGCATTTTATTAATGATTAAAAGTTAATAAATTTTCAAATTTATATCTATTGACGAATTTCCGACATTTTATTTATCCATCCTTTAATCTACTGCTTCTTTAATGAAGACCTATGAAACTATTGTTTCATCTTTGAATTGCCAATTAGGATGGGTAATAAAAATTCTTTAGAATTTCAAAAAATAGTTTACTAACAAATTCTTAACCTAATTTAATAAAATTCATACATTTCCTTCAACCAGAACACATATTTAAATATTACTTAAAAAGCTATTTGCGTGATATATCATGAATTAAAATTGTAAAAATGTTAATACACTTATGTTTCTCAGCCTGACTACAAAGAGCAGCTCAAGGTGCCCGGGTCAGCTGCTACAAGCGGAGGTGTATCGTGCACTGGCCAACACCAAGGGGGACAGGCCTGCCCACAGGTGAGTTCAATAAGCCTCAAATACATGAGATCAGATTAGGGCTTTGAAAATAAGGATGTGGATTAAAATGGAAATTAATAATTTAAGTATGCCATGAATTATTTAACAGTAATATTCTGGATAAAATCAAAGATCCAAGAGATTTCTGAAATTTAAAATTTTATAATTGATTAGATTTCAATACGTCAATTATCACACAAACAATATACTGAATCAAATGGATGAAAAGTCACAAGACAATAATTAATAAGTCTCAGAAACAAGAGTAATAATGGTACATATTCTTATTCATTCTTTAAATGTATTTTTTTTCAATTTTTTAATGTTACACTTAAAAATATAATTCATACCCTATGAATGAGGAAATATGTTAAAATAGCATTTTTACATACTATACTAATAATATGGCCTGAGTCAATTACTTGATTTTTTAATGTAAATTGCAATTTATAAGCATGAAATTGTTGCATTTACAATTTTTTTTTCTGCAAATACAATCTTTAAATATTTTACACTATAACAATATTAATACAACAAACAATATGAAAGTAATGTAGAAGATAATCAACGTAAATTCAAAAATATTATGGCAACTAAAAACAAGATAAATGACTTATGCTCTCAAAGTGTTCACCTGTTGAAGTTTTATTTCTTTTTGTGCTTTTGTTAGATTATTACTTTGTATAGTTCATAAAATTAATTTTAATTGTGAAATAAATAACTCTATTATTACATATTTTTGCTTTCATATGATTATTTTCTGATATTTACCAAAAACAATGCCAAAATAAATCAAAAATTAAAAGAAAGAAAAAAGGAATTACCCTTGAGAAGATATTAATATGATCATATCAAAATATGGAAAGGGAAAAAACAGCAAGAAGGAGAGATGAAACAATAAACCTTGACTCATACAATGTTAAGTAGTGAAATTATTTCATAGTGGTTGTGTTATTTTGTAATTTGAATTTAGACATTCCTTGAAGGCTCGCTAAGAATTATGTTCAGATAAAAATACAAAGTTGTCTTGTAAATTAAAAAACTAATAATAATACTCTAATATAATTACAGAATTTACTCATTTTCAAAATTTTATTTACTAATTTCTGGATGAAAAAGAAAACAATACATTAAAACACAAGAAGATAGATAAAAAAAAAATGGTATAATATTTTTGTGGAAGTGAAATAAAAATGGCAATGAATTTTAAAAGAATGTATTAATTATATAATTGCAATTTTTTACCCAAGGGTCATGAAATCCAATAATTAGAACAAAATTATTCAGATTCAGTTTCACATCTTTCAAGTGTACTTGGAGCAGTCATATAACAAATCATTTTGACAAATTTCTGCCAAATCATATTGGGAGGCATAGCAGATGAGAAACATGTAGAAATAATTTGCATTCATTTCACAAACATTGGCTAACTTGTGACTTTCTATAATTTTGTCATTCCATGGACTGAAGAAAGTTCACAAGAAAACAATTTATTCATGTTGCTAGAATTCAAGGAAATTTAATCACAAAATTTTATAAAATAAATATTATTTATTTGAATTATTCATTAATTACAAGTTGAATTGCAAGCTTTATAAAATAAAATAAAGCTGGCTCTTTGGTATTTGGTGATTGTGAGCTGTCCTTTAACTTTCAATGTTCAAGACCTCACTTTTATCTATCAGAGAATTCATTTAAATATTCCCATATTATTTTCAATATGATTTGTACCCGTTAAATTTAAATTTATTGTAAAATATTACAAAAAATATATCTAACTACACTCCAGAGGTTTTAACATCTGACGCAACAGCTCATCTGGCGCACAGAAGGATACATTTCATGGAACGATGCAGCTTCTGAAGATGCTCAATTGATGCAAAATGTGTTAAAATAATCTTCTGCTGGCCTGAAGCGAGAATAGCGTGACATTTGGTTGAAATTCCTGCAAATTAAAATAACTTCTCTTTTCATCCTAGTTAAATTGCTACCTAGTGGAATGAAATGCATGTACTGAAAATTTATTGAAGCATTATTCTTAACAAAATAAAAAATGGTCTTAAAACATTATTACTACTGCTTGTTAAAATGAAAGCTACAAGAAATTTTATGAGTGATCAACTTTTGCAAGTCAAAAAAAGTAGTTGTAAATACTAAAAATTTCAAAAATAACTTCTACATTTTTTATATTATCAGTGTGTCTTATGAATTTACATGAACATTTTGTTTTCAAAACCTAATAAAGTGAATACAAACAATATTTTGGTCATTTCATGTTTCTGTAATGCAATTCAATTCAATTAAGAATTCAGTAAAATAACATTACAGAGAATGTCATAATGAAAGTAACAATGTAAAGAACATTATGATGAAAACAAAACAATTATAATAAGAACAAAAATAACAGCAATGCACTAAATTAGAAACTTAGCAGTCCTTTAAAATAGAGGAAAAATGTCCTATTCATATAATATATATGTAAATAGGTATATGTCACGTAATGTAGTGACATCAAGTGCTGAAAACGGATATGAACAAAATCTAATCAATTCAGTCTCGTGTATTATGCTATTTGTATTTAAGATCAAAAGTTTTCCTTTTTCAGAAGGTTTACAGGGACGAAAATCCCGAAGTGGATAATTAAACACATCACAAGCATCTGCTGCCTCTGGTAAAATACTGTTTTCTACTGCCCCGCAATCATCAGCATTCCCTAGTTAGACACACACCATACATTCACCTCTTGCTCACTAATACATACCAAAAAAGCATGTCGTAATGGCATCCTCTTTGTAACCATTTGTCATATAAATACCAATATATCATAACCAACATTAAAATGTAAAGTTATCTGTTATGAATAAGTGTCAGATTGTAAATTACGAAAATGAAAAAATTTCCCATTAAAGAATTTCACAAGATAATAGATATTAATTTTCCAATCATTTATCATTTTTACCAGTTATAAATTGAAGATATTTTTTTGAAAATCTGGAACCCAGGCCCAGTTTTCAAATATAACCACATGAGATCATAATTTCATTGCACTGAAACTTATAATGCAGATAGTATAAAATAGATGAAATAATGACACTGTAACATGCATAACAGGGAAAGCATGAATACAAAGCCCATGCCTCAAATAAGGCCTCATCGTTTGTTCAACAAGTGCTTCCTGCATGAGAATTTGGATGCTACCCTAATTGCAGGATTGTCCAGCTTGGCTTCCACGGTGGAATGCACCCTCAAACAAAACCATTCACAGGAGAACCTAACAACGTTGCATGTGTTTTATAATAATTGGGCCACACCAGACTCTTGAAAAGGGTCAATAATCTTCAATGTAAGAAATGAACATGTTAAGACCAATTTATTTTGCACAATAAATATTTTCCTATGAAATTAGTTCAGTTAAACTTAAAAGAAATTTGTTTCATTAAACTTACAAGATACCATTTTCAATGCAATGCAGAGAGAGATTTCTCCACTAGAAGAGGAGCGACCCATCAAAAGCATTTGATTTCCAACAGCTTCAAACTGGCAAACTTCAGAAGACCACTCATTTCTCCACGTCACAATTTGCTGTGACAAATTAGGATTTCTGTCAAATAAGGGGCAAGACGAAGAACGATCAAGCTGTTGGTCGAAAAATTAATTGTCGTCGGGAAGAAAAATGCAAACAATTTCAAATCGAGCCTGGAACAACCACAATTTTTGGGACGCAAATTGACAGAAGCTGTTCCCCACGATTTTTTTTTTAAACAAATCCTAGTAAGGGCAAAAAAGAAAATACTTTTTCCGATAAACCGTCCCATAAAAAGTACAACCTGGGGCCAAATTTCCTTACTAACCCACATCCGAAAGCAACCGAGAATATAGCGGGCTTGAGAAACTTGCGTAGGCAAGGTCCTGACCGGTGGCGGCTTTGCCTCTGGGAACGGCAGCTTCTAAGTTTTAGTGTTGGCCCCGCCATTCCCTTTCCTTCAACGAACAACCACCTCCTTCCTCTCACAATTTTTTTCCTGTAAATGCAGCAAAAGGGTGTTCAGGTGATTGTGGGTGTCCCGAAGACAGAGATGTTAAATGTTTTAATTGATTTGGGTGACAACTCTACAACCGGACTCCCTGCAAGGTAAAACTCCCTACAACGGCCAGGGTGTTAACAATTCCCGTGACTCCCACAAATGGGGGCAACGAAAATTACAGACTTTCGGAGCTGAGTCGCCCAACGACAGTCAAAATAAGACGACGTCTGTGAAAATTTTGTATGCTTCCCTATTATTTCCCTTTTCATCTTCATTCCTTTAATAAACTATAATTTTTTTGTTATTATAGAATTATAATCATTATGATTTCAAGGATTTTTTGTTCTTTAATCCTGCCTCCATCTTTCAAATATCAATTGTAATCGAACTCATCGCATCATAGCAAATCAATGGTTCTACATGTTTTTTTTTATTTTAAAAATATTATGTTTTAACTAGTATGTACATCAATTTTAATTATTTTATAGGCATTACCTATGAGTATTAACGAGGTTGCCTTTTATATTTCAGGATTAGACACAAAAACAAATAATAATCATCAAAAATCATTTATTGTTTTTCAACTATTCCCCCATGAAGATCTATAACACTTTTGCCATGCGTTTTTGAAACCAATTGGTCCAACACTTTTGCCACTGATTGAGGTAAAATCCATAAACATGCATTCTGAATGCAGGCAACCGCTTCTTCAGGTGTCGA